AGTTTTCCTCCATTAGTGGAAAAGGAAGGGCGCCTTTTGCGTCTGGATATACTTAGCAACAGAAGGGCGCCCTGTACGTTAGGCACGAAGTATAGGAAACTCGCATGGTTAAAAAGAAGGGCGCCGCCTACGTTGGGCACGACTTCCGCCTCATTTTTACAATGCGAGAACTCTATCTTGTATTTCTAGTATCTTTGGTGCAGAGGAAAAGGAAAGGAACACCGAGAGGGAGCTGAATGTCCAACAAATTCCAGCATTCGGGATCAACTACCCGTAAAATAAACTCAGATTGATGTTCGAATACCAAGAATTTATTTGTCTGTATAATAGTGGAATCGTGTCCTGTCAAGAGGACAAAGAATGAGTTTTCTTTTGTAAGGGTTACTACTGTTACGGATGATTTTTCATGTTTCACCACAGCCCCAGCCTACCTAGCCGAGCCTAGGCTAGGGCTAGCCTAGGCCTAGTAGCCTACCTACATTAGAGATGGGAGGCCTAGGATAGTCCTAGGCTAACATTATCAATCTGCCACAGCTAATCAAAACAATGGTTTTTGTAGTGAGTGCAGTTGAGCTTAGCATACTTTTATAGGGATTATGATCGGTTGAGTCGCCGACAAGTTGAGCCGCCGGTCATTTCTATGGAACGCCAAGCGCGTCTCTCAGTGAATGTAGTGCGTTAATTGCGGCGTATTTCAATTAACTTATTCGTTCTTGTTACTGTTGTTTGGGATGTATTTCAGTTTATTTACTCAGTTATTTCAATTTATTTAATACTTGGTTTTTGCACTGATTTATTAAATATTTTTGGGACGTATTTCAATTTATTTACTTGTTCTTTCTATCGTTTTAATTAAAATTTTGTGAGCATTTGCTCAGTCAGCTTGCCAGATAGTAAAAAAAAAAAAAACTCCATGCATTCTTATCATTTATTATATATAAGTTTAACAAATAGTACAAAAATAAAAAGTATATAAATTACAAAACCATAGTAAATACTGTATATTAACATAGGCCTAACACATTTAAATTTATTGTTTATAGTCTGTCTATTCAGTCGGCTTGCCAGATAGTAAAAAAAAAACTCCTTACATTCTTATCATTTATTATATATAATGATATATAATAAATATAATTTAATTAAATAATTTAACAAAATAGTACAAATAACGAATAAGTTAATTGAAATACTCCGCAAACCAAATGTAAAAAATAATCAAGTTATTACATTTTTAATACGATTTTGCATGACTATAAACAATAAATTTAAATGTGTTAGTTCTATGTTATTATACAGTATTTACTATGGTTTTATAATTTATATATTTTTATTTTTGTATTATTTGTTAAACTTATAATAAATTATTTAATTAAATAATTTAACAAAATAGTACAAATAACGAATAAGTTAATTGAAATACGCCACAAACCAAACGTAAATAAACACATTTTTAATACGATTTTGCAATTATACAACTTCATTTATTTTTATAAAAATGTAGTACATAAAATTACATTTTTAATACGATTTTGCAATTATACAACTTCATATATTTTTATAAAAATGTAGTACATAAAAATATCACAATTCTAATTTTCAATTACACAATTATACATCACGATTGGCAATATGAGCAAATCAACTACTGACTAGACTGTGGGATGAATATGTAGCTGGTATCCGGGGGGTTCGTTCACTGATGACATCGGCAAGCCGACTACATTCACTGAGAGACGCACTTGGCGTTCCATAGAAATTACCGACGGCTCAACTTGTCGGCGGCTCGACCGGTCATATCCCCTTTTATAGGTAGTAATTTATTTATATCTGTCTGTGTGTGAACACGCAACATTAGTGAACATGGCTGCACCACAGTACAGAGGAGGATCACTTGCCTGGTGGCTAGCCTAGGCTAGGCCTAGCATTAGGCCAGGTAGGAATAGGCCTAGGTGGATGGGTCTAGGGCCGGCCCTGTATAACAGCCCTAAGTTTAGGGTGGTGAGTAGTGAACTGTAGTGACTGCTAGGCCAACCTGGCAGGAAGGTAATCCTGGCTTCTAGATATTTACAAAATGTTAGTTTTTGAGAATGAATCATGGAATCTCCCAGTCTCCCGAATTTTCAGAAAAGAATCCTAAAACACTAAATTTTTTCCGATGTCTGTACAAATTGTTATTTATTGACCAATCAGCTACCACAGATGCAGCATACAAGTTACAACTAATGTTTTCTGTTGTTAAATTATTGTTATTATTTTGAATCTTGATGTTGCAATAACATGTACACGTCAGGTAGAGTGCTGTAGGGCATTTGTGCAAATTTGGAAAGAAGGCTAAGAATAATTCCACTGACCACTCACTAACAAAACGATTAAATTTATCGCTGTGGCTAGATATACGGTACCATATTTCTACTTCTATTTGCTAAAGATAAGGTAAATGGCATTACGTCACCATCACCCAATGAAGTGCCAGAATATGCGGACGTCATGTCAAGACTGGCATTGCAGATCACCCACGATGAGCGGTGAAAACCGATTGGTGTACTGTATTGGGTATTATTAGAATAAGATTAACTAACCCTGTATGCAAAATGTACAATGCTGTACTTAACTGTCATCGATAAATATGTGTGTGATTCCACTCAGAGTCGTGTCATTTATCAAACAGGGACCGCATCCTGTACCAAACTCTTGGCATAGGCCTCTAGGCCTTTCTTAGATTCTTCACTTGGCAGCAGCCGCCCTGCTGTAGGGATAGATTGATCTGTCCAACTAATTCCTCTGTGGTCATACCAAGTCTAAAGTTCTCAACCCCCAAAACCTCATCCCAAGTTTTAGTCCGACCAAAATATTGATGCACTTTGAATACACATGCAACATTAACCCATCTATACACAGACTCCATCACTGTTATGTACTTCCCCCAATCGGCCAGAATCCAGATCGAGGGAATGTGTTTCCCCACTGCTAATCATGTGATTATTAGTGTCAAATTTTCCGAATATACAGTACTTTTAATGCAGGCCCATTTAAAACAGTAGTACGGTATAAATTTTTCTAGTCGGCCTATATGAATACTCTTATTACAGTTACAGTATATTCAGTTTTTAGTGCAAGTTTTGTAATGTAAATATAGACCAAAGACTGAGCTGAGCATCAAAAGTTTGGTCCTGAGGATTCAAGCTTTGCTTGATATGGTTATAGGTAAATGACATGACCCTTATTACTGAGTGGAACCCTTACGCCTATTTATCGATGACCGTATTACTGTATAAGAAAAATACTAGTGTACTCTTTGCCTAGCTAATGATGGGCTAATCCAGTACATAGTCACACCACTCACACTGTGGGCAATTTGCAATGCCAATGCCGGTCTTGATAGATGACGTCACACACATTTCCGCACTTTATGGTGGTGGTAACGTAATACCATTTACCGTACCTTTAAAATGAATGTAGAAATACGGTGCCGTATCTCTAGCCACAGCGTAAATTTATGTCAGTTTAGGGTTAAGTTATTTCTCACTGGCTGTTTGGCCGATGCATTTAGCCCTTATTGTAGATGTGGATTATTAGAATGTAGCTTTTCTTGCAAATGGTCAATCAGAACACCAAGGTACCGTAGTAAGTTATCAGTTTTATACAGTAACGTACATCTAGCCACATGCCATAAAATGTATTTTGGTGCAGTCTGTAGTTGCCTTGTGTCTAAATGGTTTAGTTATGTTATTATATTTCCATAAACAGTAGTACAAGGTCAAAAACATTCCGACCCAAGAAGAATATTCCAGAAGGAACACACCAGTATGATTTGATGAAACATGCTGAACGGACACTTGGAAGTGGAAATCTACGTCAAGCTGTTGCCCTACCCGAAGGAGAGGAACTCAATGAATGGGTTGCCGTCAATAGTAAGTACAGAACTCGGCGTCTTGTTTGCATTCATTTCAATTTTTTTTTAACTTGCCTAAGTCGAATCCAAAATGCCACTGAAAAATTGTTCTACGTACAGATAATTAATGTAAAATACAACCATTTGGCATGTAAAATAAGTTCGACTTAGAAATTATTCGAGTTAGGCAAAGGCGACTTAGGCAAAGTTGACTTATGCAATATTTGGGATGTAAAAATCGCAAATGCAGGGCTAGAAATTTACTTTTTCAGCCACTAGCAACCTATTGCTAAAATGTGCTAGTTGGTAAAAATGTAACTAGCAAAATGAACTGCTCAACTAGTAAAATATATTAACTCAACATATATTTTCGGAAAATAAATTGTATGAAAATAACTAATGATGTACTTTTATAAATTTGTGCGTTAAATGTTTTAATATAATATTTTCTGTTATGGTGGGTGTAGTACAATAAATATCACAAAGAAATAGCCAATTGAGTATAAGAAATTGATTTCTATACCTTGTACATTTATTTACTTCAGTCTCAGAACATTGTTAATATATTTTTTATATCATATTATTTTGAAAATTAAAAAAAATATACTTAGTGTTTAGTGTCACACCCTCAGAAATGTTCAGGGGTGGGGGAAGGAGGAGTTTTTTTTTTTTTGCCAGACTAGCCTAGGCAGGCTTAGGTAGGGGCTAGGCCTAGAGATTTCAAAAACTGCATTGTAGCAAGCCAAATCTTTGACAGAAAAAGACCATAACAGAAACTCAATTTTACATAAAAGATTTGTTTGTTCAATATTTATTTTGATAGGCCTTGGTCTTTTAAACTGGGGCTAGACGTTCCGCTGGTGCAGTAGTAGGACTAGGCCTAGTCTAGGTTAGGAGGTCTACTAGGCCTAGCCAGACTAGGTTCTAGTAGGCTAGGCCTATTGACATCTGCCAATTGAAGCCTAGGTTGTAACCTATTATTTGTCTTGGCTTCATAATAAATTAATATTTAATCATATCTGAAACATTGTTTATTATCTAAAAAGAACCAAATTAAATATGTTCGCCTTTACTACCAATCGCATCGCCCGTGACTTCCGTCAACAAACACATGTATGTGAGGAAAGCGATTTTTTTCTGCACACTGCTTCCTTATCTTGTTGCAAGGTTTAAGAAAATTAATGTTGGTGGCGCACTTCACATCATGTTTCTGGTGCTCAAGATGAAAAAAAAAACGATCGTTTTTCGTCGATTATAGGCATTTTTAGTCGATTTTCATAATTAAACAATAAATAAATTTAATAAAATTTGTATTAGTTTTTGTAGATCAGTTTAGTCTAGTTTTAGTTTAATACTAGGCTAATTACAAGATGTTTTGTATAGATATTCCAACTAGCAATCATTTTTTTTTAATTTACTGGTTTGTGAATTTTTACCTAGCAATTATGACAAACATACTAGCAAATTGCTAGTTTGATAACGTGAATTTCGAGCCCTGAAATGAGGTCATTCCCGATGCATTACCACTAATCCATGTGTATCTTGGGTGTTTTCTGTTGATAACTTTTTTAAATTATAAAATTTTCATTGTAAATTCCATATACCTTACTGTAGTAAGAATGAATAATGAATTATTTTCAATAAGGTAAACGTAGAAGTGATCAGAAATTGATTATAAGAGGGTTTAAAATTTAAAAATCAATGAATTTTTTCTACAAAAATTGATGCAAGCATCCCAACTTTCTCGAGTCTATAGAGCCTTCCACATTGATGCGAATGGAATAAGTATTTTTCAATACAAAAATCACTATGTTCAAATACAATGCTTCACACATTTTCTGGTCCAGTCTATGTGTGTACACGTATGTTCCCGACCCTCATTGTGAGCTGGCGATTGCATATAGGAAAAATCATAATGATGACAATTACTTTAATCCGGGTTGTCGAGATGTATTATAAAGACGTTTTTTTTATCAAAATATCCTATGAAACTGTTTTGTTATTGTATGTTTGTGTTTAATTAAACTGTGGCGAGTTGAGTGGCCAAGCGGTAAGGTAGCAGCAATACTGTAACTACTGCCTTAACGTCTTTGCTGGTTTAAGCCGCTCCTTGCCTAGGGTTCGGTTAGTAGAACCAAATATTCTTGGTCAAGGACTTAAAATGGAGGTTGAGTGTACACATCTGGTTTGTTTGCACTTTAAAAAACCCAATTGCATCTTTCGTAACAGTGGTAAGGTAGGGGTGCTGTTACTGTAACTACAGTCTCGTTGCTGTTTTAAGCTGCTCCTTGCCTATGGTTCGGTAGTAGAACCAAGTCTTCTCGGTTAAGTGCTTCAATGGAGGTTCAGTGTACACATCTGGCTTGTGTGCACTTTAAAGACCCAACAATTACCCCAATTTTATGGTTCATTTCAGCCTGTGTTGTTGTGTAATGATGTGAACATGTAGCTAAGCACTGTAAGTGCCTGTTTTTATATGGCGGCTATGTAGTCACGGACAACACTGCAAATTGTGGGTTGTTCCTTTACATTACCCTTTAATTTATACTTGCAAACAAAATTGGTATTTATTTAAAAAATAAGTGCATTGCAACATGTCCATTAAAATATCTTTCAAACATTGTACAGTGTAAAATCTTTTTTGTTTGAAAGGCATCATTGGTAAACTGTATATTGTGAGTATTGCCTATAAACATAATCCGTCATAATTACAATTTTATTATCCTTTAGTTTCTATGAATTCATGGACGATATTTTACTCTGCAAATATTAATCACTTACCTAAACAGGTCTATACAAAAGAACGTTGGATACACAGGCAGTTAAGCAGAGGTTCCATGTTAAAAAAATGTTCATTACATTCACGTTTTTTTTTTTAATGACCGTTCCTACTGTAGTGTCAAAGGTCATTGTCAGTGTTAAGGTACTATAGAGTACCACAGTCGTGTCATCACAACACCAGGGGGCGCCCTCTGGACGTTGGTTACCATTCATTACGCCTGAATGACTTCATAATCTTAATGGTTTAGAATAGGCTTTCTGGAATAGGCATTTTAAAACCTAATAATTTACTATCAAAATGTACTAAAGACACAAAAATCTTGCATTATATTAGTTGTCGAACACTTTATTCATCATTTATTCTTCAATAAACATTTACAAAGAAAAATTAAGATACAACTTCTTGATAATTACGTTACAAATTGGGATCAATGGTTTGTCAGTGAGGAAAATGGCGTTGGTTGAACGCATTTTGTGTCACCGATAGCAACGGAGTAGTATCATGTGGTATCGTGACGTAACACTTAGTAATCTACGTAGGTAGCAAACATTAAATTAAACTAAAGTAAATAAATTACATATTATGAACAGTTTACTATACTGTAGAACAGAACAAAAACTGACAGAGACCTTATAACTGGTACAGATAAGGGCCCATAAAAAAATTATTAGTTTTATCACCCTTGCGCGCATCACTTTTGGGGAAATCCCGATTTTTTTTTTTTTTTTTTTAAATTTTTAGCCTACTCTCTGAGAGAGAGGGCTTATATGATGATTCTGAGCGAATGTTGAAGTCATTTGTTTTTCTATCTCTTCCTTCGTTTGTGACGCGATTAGGCCGATCTTGCAATAATATGGAAGGTAAGGCCTGGGGAATTTAAAGTATGAAGAGCTTTTGCGAAATTATTGTTGGGAAATATGTGAAAAAGTATGTTTTTATATCATATTTCTAAACATTACGGTGGGTTTCCTATGAAAGCATGTTCGTCATTGATCAGATTGCAAATCGCCTGTATATTCCACATTGTGTTTATCAACCAATCACGGCCTGGAATGGTAAGCTTTGCGGCTAATAAATGCGTCTGCACGAGTCTAGTTGGTAGCGAAGAATGAGCCGTTTTGTGGTGCTTGCAAGGGTGGGGGGTCTCTCCTCTGAGAGATAAACAATGTACACTACTGAAATGGAGTTTGGCCTAGAGCTAGAGGAAGACGAACTAGGCCTACAGGCTGGCTGGGTAGTACGTGTGTGTAGATCAGATAACAGGAAATGTAGGCTACAAGTTGCTTTTATGTGTATTAAACCACAATATTCAAATTAGTTAGTAGCGATGAGTGTATGTGTGCAACACATTTCGTGTCAATGTACTGTAATGCAGGCTAGCCTGACGAAGACAAATAGGCTGGCTTGATACGTACGTGTGTGTAGGCCTAGGCCGTAGTCTAGATCAGATACTACAGGAAATAAATGTAGGCTACAAGTTGCTTTTATGTGTATTAAACCACACATTCAAATCAGTAGCGATGAGTGTATGTACAGCACATTTCGTGTTGCCGCACTGTGCTAGGCCTAGCTTTAAAACGGAAACTCACAGAAAAAGACTTGAATTTGAAATGAAATGTCAAAACAAATTTTCATTTAGCTTAACAATAACAATAATTAATAATACTATCTAATAGTAACACATGGAAATCCGTAGCTCACCTAGGCCTAAAATTGTGAAATTTAGTGAAATCCAACATGGTCTACCTACACAGAACTTACTTTTGTTTGGCATCGCACATAAAAAAAAACGTGGAGGCAGGTACCTAACATAACATAAAACTAAAAGGATCCGCTGAGTGTCGAGTAATTTTCGTAAACCTCCCGCATTTGTAACCTCCCGCATTTTATTGGAAATTTTTGCCAGCGTTGATTGGAATTCAGCTTGTGATCAAAGGTGTTGACTGGTACCGAGATTAACAGTCACTTACCTCGGTAAACCATTCAATGACAGTAGCTACTTTCAGTAGCCACAAAAATAATAACAGTGACAAATACCTTTAATTATAACGGTAAAAACAATAAAAATAAAACTCAATTAATATCATTTGGCTTCCTGTATACACTTTCAATTAATAAAAATAATTGTAACTAATAAAATGTTAAAACTAATATTATAGTATTAATTTACCAATTGTTTTTTTCTTATAGTTGTATCAGGAATATGGTACAGCTACTGAAAATTATTGAAAGTATGG